TGCAGTGAGCTTAGCACTGTGGGAGGAGAGATCTGAATGAGAGCGCCAGAGAGGCCAGGCCACCCATGGGCAGTGACCCTTCCAGGAATCTACCAATTAGATAAATCACTGCTCCCCCATGGAGACATGAATTGAGGGAACTGGAGAGAAAGGTGGAAGTTTTCTCCCCAAACTGTCTGATGGTAGATCCAGGCTTTGTGAAGCCTAAGACCCTTATTAGTTAGATGGTTTCCTTGAAAGAAAGAACACAAAATTACAAGTGTAAAATTAGAAAGCTTGGAAGAGGCCAACACAAATGAATGTCCTGAAACTTTAGCTTTACAGCGTTCTAGTAAATCCCCCCACTCACCCCCTGCCCTGCCGCTCTTGAGAAGGTAGAAATACCTATTTTTATGTGTACATCAGGTAGAATTCAACTTGCTAGGAAACCAAGTTGAGCTGGCTTAAATAATAAAGCATAGTGGCTCATGTCCAGTTGTAGGACAGGCTCCATGGTTGATCTAGCAGCTTAACAATGTCACAGTGACCCAGTTTCTTTCTCATCTCTCCTCCATGCTGTCCACAATATCTGTTCCTATTTAGGTAGCTCCCTTGAAGCTTGCAGTAGGAATACCAGCAGCAAAGGGGACTACTAGTTTACTCTTCTTATTGGAAGAGAAAGGACAATTGTCTCAATTATACCAACTGTCCTGAGGTACAAATCTTGCCCTGTTGAATTCAAGAGTTTGAGTGACCAAGCCTGAGACAAGGACTATTGCAAGAGGGATAGGGTTAACCTCAAATGACAGGTCAACCAGGGCCCACCTCCAGAGATAAGGCCAAGGTTAAGACTATGCTTCATCCTAATCACTTGGCTGCTGCATTTTGGAGGAGTAGAACTGAGGCTGGTGAAACTCACTGTTCAATCAGAGGGTAGAGGATGGGATAGTGAACTATATGTTTTGACAGCTTTCAAGATAGTCAGATGATTTACATTTCCCCCTCCATCTTCATTTTTCTCACCATGAGACAGCCTTCCCTGAGGGGCAGGGAACTTTGTTCACTATTTACCGAGCACCTACAGTAAGTGCTCGGGTTTTTTTTTTAAGAGTTTTTTTTTTTAGGTTTATTTATTTATTTTATACAAGAACCGGGGTACAGGCCAGATGTGCAAGAGGGTGAGAGGATTCACCAGAGACAGATGGGGGAACAGAACAGGCAGACTAACGAAATACACTGCTGAGGGGAGCAGTGGGCAAGACAGGAGAGGTCTGCCATGCCATGTGGGATCCTCACCAGCTGGCCAGGATCGAACTGGCACTTCAGAGGTTGCGGACAGCTTCACAGTGCAGTGCTCAACTGCCTGTGCCACCAGGGGAGGCCCTAAGTGCTCAGTTTTAATTGAGAGAATATATGCATTTAAGTACAAACTTATAATAAAAAGCAATGGATTAACACATTAAATAACTGAATGTAATGGTTTTTTATTAACACATTAAATAACTGAATGTAATGTAATGGTTTATATAAAATGGGACACTGCAGAATATGAAATCAGAACAAAAAGATTTAGACAGTATTGGATTTGAGCTGAATTGACAAATAATTTTTAAGGCAACAGGTCTCATCAGGCAAAGTAGAAATGGGACAAAAGGACTTTTTAAAAGAGACTCTTGAAACTGACAAATCTGAGGTGTCAGGAATTCAACCAGACATCAAAAGTGTTTCACGGAGAAACCGAAAGGTAAATGCAAAGTGAAGGATAATTAACCCCCATAACATTATATAAGGAGACAGTTAGATTAAATGTAAGCACTAAATTTGTTGTATAATGCAATAACTTTAGTCCAAGATAATGACTTAACATATTTTTTGATATAAAAGTAAAACACAAAGCAAATCATCTTGCTTAGTTAGGGAGATGGGTGATAAAGCTGCCAAAGGATAAAGAATCATGTAACAAGTGTGCATGGCTTCTGATTTTCCATTTTTTTAATATCACTTATTTTCTATGTTCTGTGCCTAAGCTTTAAAATTCAGATTACATTTGAAATATACTAAGCCTTTTAAAAAATTAAACAACTCATTAGTAAATACTTTGGATAAAATGTTTATTTTTTTAATTGAAACATTATCTCCATGTTCCTTGAGTTTTTGAATATTCAGTTTTATTAAATCAAGCCATACTTGTTCTGGGCAATGTGGTGCTATGTGCCATAGGTTACATGTAGGGTGGGGTGGTTAGATGGCAATGATTTTGAATCAAGGCTCCACCTCAGGAACCTGGGAATGTTAGGCAGGAGATAAGAAAAGTCCCACAGCTTGCCAAGAACTTCAGCTATTCCGATAAACAATTTGATTACTGATGCTGACTCTTACATACTATACAGGTTATCCAAGTCTTAATCTTGATGCTTGCTGTGAATATAGTATTTGGACCGCCCTTTCCACTGACATAATTATTCATTTGTATATTTAAATAGCATTTTCTATGAATAAGTCAGTATTCTATCAACAAAGGCAGTTTCCTCTGGCTACATGACTGGCCTTGGCTACCTAATATTAAAGAATGGAGTATGTGAAAACTGAGCTTATAGATAAAAGAGAACAGATTGATTGTTGCCTGAGGCAGGAATGAGAGAAAGGGTACAAACTGGGAAGCAAAAGGTACAAACTTCCAATTATAAAATAAGTCACACAACCTGGCAACTAGTTAATAATACTGATTTGTATATTTGTAAGTTGCTAAGAGAATCCATCTTAAAAGTTCTCATCACAAGAAAAAATTGTATAACTATGTATGATGAGGGGTACTATGGTGACCATTACACATTATATACAAATTCTAAATATATACAACTATTAAATTATCATATGTCAAGCTAATAAAATACTATATTTCAATTATGCCTCAATCAAAAATTTTTAATTAAAGATATTTGTATGGCCTCCCTGGCAGCCTAGGAGTAAAGTCTCAGTGCTATCACCTCTAAGGCCTGAGTTAGATCCCTGACCAGGAAGCTGACCCACATGGCGCAGCAGACCTCTCCTGTCTCACCCGCTGCTCCCCTCAGCAGTGGATTTCAGTCAATCTGCCTTCTGCTCCCTATTCTGTCTCAAGTGAATCCTCTCACTCCCTGCACATCTGGCCTACACCCCAGTTCTTCTATGCCAAAAAAAAAATTCTAAAAAATTCTCTCAAAATAATTAGGTCCAAAATAATTCAACATGGTTACACATTACACATTTTCCCATAGTGAAGCCAGGTCTTTGCAGGGGCTCATGGTGCCCTACACCTCATAACCTCTCAGACTTCATCTTCTTTTCCCTGTTCTTTCTGCTCCACCCCATTGACTTTTCTGGCCAAGCACAACATGCCTGGCACATTCTATCAAGCCTTTGTACCAGCTGCCCCTTCTGTCTGGAATACTTCTCCATAGGCATCCACAAGGGTAACTCCCTCACTTCCTTCATCTATGCTTAAATTTCACTTTCTCAATCATACCTATCATGTCCATGAAATTGTGACTCTCCCCTCCTAATCCCCCTTATTCTGCTTTCTCGGTGGGTTGAGCGCAGCGCTGTGAAGTTGTCCCCAGCCTTTGCAGCTCGGATTTGATTCCTGGCCGGCCAGGGAGATACCCACATGGCTCAGCAGACCTCTCCTGTCGTGCCCGCTGCTCCCCTCAGCAGTGCTTTCGGTCTGTCTGCCTGTTCTGCTCTCCACTCTGTCTCTGGTGAGTCCTCTCACCCTCGCGCACCTCTGGCCTGTACCCCAGCTCTTGTATAAAAATAAATAAATCTTTAAATATATATCTATAAATACTTTATAAACATAAATTTTTTTACACATGGTGTTTATTGTCGATTTTTCACCTACAACTTAATCCTCTTGATGAAAGAACTTTCTATTTTGTTCCCTGCTTATCCTTGATACATGGTAGATCAACAGCAAATATGTTTTAAACTAATGCATATTGCTGTGACCTGCTTGGTTACTGTTGCATCAGGAACCATTTTAATCATATGATATGTTTCAAAAGTCAAACTTCCTCCTTAAAGAGAGACAGTGTCATCTACCAAAAAAAAAAAAAAAAGGAAAAGAAAAAACAACAAAACAACAAAAAATACCCAATATTAAAATTTCATTCCCCAATCTCCAACAAGAAGATTGTTTGATTTTTTGATTTTGTTTTTTCTAAGAAAGTCCAGCCCTGTCAATCTAAGGTCTGTGATGAGTTAGTTTTGTCCAAACACACAGTTGCTGAGAGGCTCAACACAGCGGCAAAAAAGAATGTTGGCGGGTCTACCTGGTCGTCCCACCTGTGTCTGCGCTCAAGTGACAGGACCATAAATTCTGTGACTTGGCAACTGCGACAGGAAACCCTAAGTGGGTAATTCACAGCCTGGAGTTTCTGCTGGGGTTTACATCATCCCCCGACGTGTGAGCCTGGCCAGGGCCCCCCAGGTCCCGAAGAATAACCTCGCTCAATTGGTGACAAGTCCCGGAGGGCAAAGATGGGGTCGGAGGCTCCAGATCCAACGCGTTTTGAAATCCTGGACTCTGGGCACCGAGTGGCCGGAGCGCAGACTTCGCCCGGGGCCTTTTGGGGACGCCGCCCGGCCCGGGGAGGCGCGGGAGGCTCCGGGCGGCCGCACGGCCCTGACCCGCGGGCCTGGAGGTGGGCGTGGGCCAGCCGGGCACGACCCGCGGGGAGAAACCGCCGGGCACCACCCACCGGGGCGGGCGGGGCGCGGGCTCGGCCCAACCACTGCCTCGGGGCGGGGGAGGCCAGAGCAGCCGCGCGCCCCGACGCCGCGCGCCTCCCGTCCCGGGGCGCCTCCTGCGCCCGGAAGGCTCCCGGCCCCCCCGCGTCCTCCCCGCCTCGAGGAGAGGCCGGGTTCTCCCCTCCCGCCCGCTCCCCGCGGCGCCCCCCGCACCCCCAGCCGCGCTTGGTGCGGTCCGGGCTCCCCGGTCACGCGGCGACGGGGGCGCGGCTTCTCCAGCGCTGCTGGTGCCTCTCGCGGCCTCGGCGCGCGTCCCCGGGAGCGGCTGGAACGATGTTGGGCCCGAGTCGCCTCAGCTTCGTCCTCCTGGCCGCGGCCGTCACCTGCGCGGGGGCGCAGCACGCGCCGCCGGTGGGTGAGCTCGAGCCGGGGCGCGGGGCGGAGGGGGCGGCAGGTGCGCAGGGGGCGTGAGGCGCACCTGGTCCCGGGCGGCACCTTCGCCCGGGTCTGGGGTCTGAAGGGCACAGGTGTGGGTGCGGAGCGGGCCGGTGAGACTCACCCCGGTCGATTCGATACAAGCTGGGACGAGAAAACGCTTATAGCCACCTCCGAGGAGCTGCAGAAGAGTGGCTGTGATTTGCACACCCCCAAACCCGAGTGATTGTACTTGCTCTGCTCGTCCCTGCGCATCCTCAGCTGCCAAGAGGAAAAGTCCCCGTCCAGGAGTGTCTGTAACTCAGCTAAGCGGATGACCTGATGACTTTGGGGGTCTCTGCCCCGTGGACAGGGGCTGAGGAAGTTGAGGAAGTTGTAGCTCAGACGGCTGGGAAAGCCGGGTTAGGGCAGTGGGTACAGCCCAGGAAGGCCCCAAAATGGCCTTCACCTCCTTTTTCCCTATCCCGCGTCATGTGAACTCCTGTCCCGTGGCTCTGTACCCACAAGGAAGTCACAGAACCACACGCTTGATAACAGGAGACAGCGAGGGACCAGCCACACTCTGGTTTTTACAGAAGTAGACTAGGAGTGAGAAAATCTCTAACCAGAGGCTCGCGCTATTATTTACAAAGGCATGTCTCTTGTGATACCCAGGCTTTCATAATCCTCTTCTTTAAAAGCAGTAACACTAGGGAATATAAAAATAAAATTAAATATATATATAAGCCTTATAAAAGAAAAAGAAAAAAGCAGTAACACTGCATCTGTCTTGGCCAACAAGTCAAAGGAATAGGAACTTGGCTATGCATATGACCTGGGGCTAGATGAGGATGCTCTGGAGTAGCTTAGGTAAGATATTGATTATGGGAAGAAGATGTGTGAGTTCTTCTTTCACTCTTGTATTCCTCTAAGGAGAAAGGCTTTAAAAATAAAATCATGGTGGGATATTATTCAGCTAAGGGAAAAAACGACAGAATATTGAGTAAATAAAAGTAGAATGCAAAATACTCTGTACAGTGATTTTGATAACAAAAACACTACGAATAAGGTCTAGAAGGTTATAAGAAAAAAAGGAATTTGCTTTAGTGTGGCTACGGAGTGTATTTGCTATAGAGTCGTTGGGATTATAAAAATTTTTTTAAACTTTATTACTTTGATATTGTCAGTGCCTTTCATTTAGCCAAAGACCATCAGGAAACACACCTGTAGTTGAATGGAGTGAATTAGGTTTATTGCTCTTTATGGTGAGTGAGAGTGCACGCCATGGGCATCTGTAGGACCTCACAGTAAAAGGGTATTAGGAATAACCCATTTCATAATTTGGACTTTGGCTGTGTGATTTGGAGGTAGGTCTAAGGAGTCAGAGGTTTGCTTTTAGAAAAGCAATTTTGTGATTGGGTAAAGAAGAAAAGTCATTCATTTGACCAGAGAAGGTGGGTATTGGTATTTTATGAATTGCATGGAACCTTTGTTTTTGTCTGTGCTTACACAAAATCATAAAAGTGCTTTGTTTGTTCTCATTTTTCAAGTTTCATGCTAACACAGGAACAGAACTTGGCTTGGTTGTGTCAGACCAACTTGTAATGATGTTGAGGTCTGATTGTGAACCTCAGAGCTATTTCAGATGTCAGGAGCTGCTCTCTCTCTCTCTCTCTCTCTTCCTTTCTCTGTACTGTATTATTTGAAACAAAATTATTTTTGAAATTATTTTAAAATTGCTTTTAGAATCAGCAGTCCCTCCATTAATTTAATAGTTTTTTTAAGATTTGTTTATTATTTTTTTTAAAGATTTATTTTTATACAAGAACCAGGGAACAGGCTAGATGCACAGGAGGGTGAGAGGATTCACTGGAGACAGAGCGGGAACAGAACAGGCAGATAGAAGTAATGCACGGCTGAGGGAGCAGCAGTGGGCAAGGCAGGAGAGGTCTGCTTAGCCATGTGGAATTCTCACTGGCCGGCTGGGATTGAACCCGTGCTGCAGAGGCTGCGAACAGCTTCACGGTGCGGCACTCAACCACCTGCACCACCAGGGAGGCCCCTATTTATTTATTTATACAAGAACCGGGATATAGGCCAGATGTGCGGGAGGGTGAGAGGATCCACCAAAGACAGAGTGGGGAGCAGAACAGGCAGACAGACGAAATACACTGCTGAGGGGAGCAGTAGGTGAGGCAGGAGAGGTCTGCTGCGCCATGTGGGTCTCTCCCTGGCTTGCTGGGATTGAACTGGCACTGTAGAGGCTGCGGACAGCTTCACAGCACTGTGCTCAACCACCTGCGCCACCAGGGGAGGCCCTAATAGTTTTTTAGTACAGTGGTTGTCAAAATTTAATCCACTCACCAGTGTCAATTTGAGAAACTGTTTTCCTAAGTCTTTAACAAAATGGAAAAAATAAAGGCATAAAACTAAAATTAAGAATGTTACCTTGTATTCATATTTTACAGACTTCCAGTTTTGGTTGTTAAAGGTTTTTAAATTGGTGGTCTTCTTATGGTGGGTTTTTGTCTTTTAGCATCTCCACTTAGAAGAATAAACACATCGACTCCCTTATGTTGAGCCCCTTCTTAATCTCTTTTATTGATCTGGTAAATTCTGCGAGCCAGTGGCCAACACAACCTGTGAAAACTCATATAAGTCTAGTTCCTTCTGACAATAAAAAGCAGTTTTTCACTGGGGATCATTATATGATAAACTATTTGTAGCCATATAGTAACAAAAGATATTCAAAACCACTTTTGATTAATATGGATAGTAAGGATTGGCTTGAAGTTACAAACAAGGCATTTGATTTGGAACATATATGGGTCTGGTTTTGCTTTTGACTCTTTTAAGAATATGACATTTTGAGGTCTACTGGAGTCATTTATTACTGATTCTGTTTTGAAGCCTGTTAAAAGATGATGGTGACAGAAGTGGCACAAGAGAAGTCTGGAGAGGGAGTTGGAGGTGCTATCATCCTAGGATCCCTAGACCTTGTTCAGGCCTTTGGAATTTATCCTAAAAAGAATGGGAAGCCATTGGATGGTCTTAAACTAGACAAGACAAGATAAAATTTTCTTTTTTAAAAAGACGAGTTTGGATGGCGGGGCGTGGTGCCGAGTTGGATATGAGGAGACTAATCTGAGAAATACTGTGAGTTGCAAGTATAATGATATTATTTGAAGCCATTGGAACAGGTGGATTCAACTAGAAAGAGGATGGAAAAAGAGAGGGAAAGAGACGTATGCAAAGGCTAAGGGATTCACACCGATGCAGGTAAGGTGGAGAAGAAATTGGCAAAATTAGAGTCGTAGTCAGAATGGGAGAGTATGTATTACAGAAGATGATAGGAGAGAGTGGACAGGTTACTGATGTTGAGTGCTACTGAGAGGTCAAGTGTCCATTATGTTTGGCAGCTGGAGATCATTGCATACTTTGGCCAGAGCAGTGTGGGCAGCAGAAAACAGATTGCATGCGGTAGGCTGAGCAGTGATCAGCAGGAAAGGAACCAGAGTAGGAGAGGTGACTTCTCAGTAATAAATCTGAGCAGATTCCTAAAATGTGTGAAAATGAAACATAATGACTCAATGATTAGTTGCTGAAGGGAACTTAACTTTTATGCATCAGCTTCTCATATGAGTAAAAACATTCTTGACATTAGCTACTGAATCAGCTTATAGCAAGAATTTTCACAAAGGTTCCAAAATTGCATAAATCCCATCTGGCCTAGCAAATGTTACTATTCTGCATGTGCTTTTCCACAGAACTCCAAAGGCAGGGACATATGGGTATAATCTGTTCACTCAGTCAACACAAAGTTTATGCTTACCTTGTACTGGATTTGGAATGGTTAGTGAACAAAATAGAAAATCCCTGCCCTCCTGGAGGCTTTATTTACATTCCTTGTACCTAAATATCACCAGTGTAGTAGGGTGCTAGCCATCAAAGCCAAAAATAAAAAATCATGAAATAATTTACATGCTCCTTTAAGGCAGTCATAGATGCAGAAGACTTACCTTTTCTTATTTGATAGGTGTATGTATGTTCTGTTATACATAAAGAACATACTAAGAAACAAATCATATTTAGAAAATAGTTGTTGGTGAATCAAAGAATTTTAAAATAGTCTTAATGAGTAGGGACAGTACAAAGAGATTCAAGCTCCTGTGAATCAATTAGAGAATTTAGTGAGTTTACTTCCTCTCACTTAGGAAGCAAAACAAGAGATTCTAAGTTGATTGTGGCTTTTTTCCCCTTTGAGCTGCATTTCAGTATTCAAAGCCAATTACATATATCTGCCTATCACCTATTTATGGTTTTTACCTATAAACTATTTAAATTTTTACCTATCTTGATAAGGTTGTCTTTTATTAAAACCTTACAAGTTGATCAATAAATTTGGAGATAATAAGAGACTTTAAATCACAAATGAGTTCATTATAATTCTACGTCAAGTCTACACATAAATTTGGAAGCTGAGTTTGCTTGTAAAAGTCTTCTTTGAAGGTGGAGATATAATTCTCTACCCCTATATCTAGCCTTTTTGTTTAAATGACTTCAATTTTTACCTGCTGGGCATCTGAACTGCTCTGGTCTCCTAACTGCTACCTTTTTTTTTTTTAAAGTGTTGTGTGGATGTTTGTATTTCCCTGCTCTTGTTGCGTCAAATGTACTTGCCTAGGTCTTGTGGTTAAATATATTTCCCTTTTTTTAGGAAACTGTCAAAACACTTGCCAGAGTGGCTTACCTTTGTACATTCCCTTTTGTCCATACAAAATGTGGGAAATTTTTTTCTATCTTTGTTAGCATTTGACAATGTCACTATTTATGTCTCTGTTCTAGGCAGTGTAGAGGTAGCTTGTTGTGATCTTGATTTGCGTTTCCCTTATGGCTAATTATGTAGAACTTCTTTTCATGTGCATATTTGCCATCAGTAGATCTTTCTTGGTGAAATGTCTCCTTATGTGTATCATAGCTGCTACCTTTTAAGATTTCTGTCACATTTACCTTTTATTCTTGCAGCCAGATTTCATGCAAATCTCATATCTGTATTTCATGAGTTTTTTAAATTGCTAACAGGATTACTGTAGTAAAATGTCTGATTTCAAACACCTACATGTATGATGGCTAGATTGCTCTCTTACCTCTGGGAGCAGGTAGGATGCCCCTAAGATTTGACAGCACTCTTAACTTCCCTTACAGTTGTCTAGTAGAAATACGCCTTGTAGTTTGATTTTTATATTGACTTTAGAGCGCAGATCACGCAGAAATAATTATTAGGGAAAGATGGGCTCATTGTGTTTTACTCACTTGCTGAGATTTTAGTGATCATCAAAAGCCCTAAAGGAAGTGCAACTTGTTCCCTATTAGGAATTAAATTGAAGCTTTGATTTTATTGAGAGAGCAAAAGCAGCCTGAACCAGCGCTCTGACACCTGCTTCTGTCACCAACTGTGCAAACTTCTAACCCCTAATGGAACTGGACCCTTCATCCAGATCACAGCCCTCAAGTTCTTAATAGCATGAAATTCAGTAAGAGGGCAGATAATGGAATTGTGTGAATCAGTTCACCTTATAAACTCAACTAGAGTTGTGATACTTAGAATTTTATGATGAATAAGTTAGAATGAAATAAGAATTTCATTTCTAAGGTTAATATGTGCCTTTGTAAAATGATGTGATTGGAAAATTCATACCTGTAAATTAAGACTTTCTCAACTAGAATGCTCCTTTTACTTATCCATTTCTAACTTTATTAAAAAAAGATTAGTGAATTTTGAATGCCTTCCATTGCAGTGTGTTATTTTTAAATAATTTTCAGTTGTGACCCTTAAAATACTCTCAGAATCACTCTGTAAAAATCCTCTATGGCACTGAAGAATATAGAATATATCATATAGAATATAGATAGAATAGCGTCCCAGAGGAAACTCAGCCTTCGATACCCATTTTAGACATGTGACCTTCAGAATTGTAACATTAATTTGTGTTGTGAAAAGCCACTGAGTATGTGGTAATTTGTTGTCACAGCAATAGGAAACTAATACAGCTAAGAGCTGCCAAAGACTGATGTCAATCCTTTAGCTTATGTTTTGATTGACTCTGTGTGAGAGAGACTTTTAACTAATTTTTGGCATTTCGGTAGTAGAGGAGTGTTAACTGAAGTAATCTGAAAGAAACTGTTTTGAGGAAAGGAAATCCGTGAGAAGTTCCTAACTCAGAGTAGCAGTTACTCTGAAGAATAGGAATAATAAATGAGGATGAAAAGGAGAGTGAGGGGCTAGTACACAGAAAATAATGCCTTTCCTAACCTCTACATATAGAATTGCATGGGTAGCATCATGCTAGATAAAAAGCAAGTACATGTATCTCTCCTTGCTCTTTTTCACCCCCACACATATGTTCTATCTCAAAGGATTTTCCTCTGAAGAAAATGAATAGTCTAGGCACAACCAGACAGCTTGGATGGGTGTTGGTACCGTGGAGCAGTAATTGACCAAATCCAGTCTGCTACCTGCTTTTGTAAGGCTTGCAAGTTAAGACTGGCTTTTACACTTTTAAAAGGTTGGGTGGGAAAAACAAAAGAATAATAGTTCACAACACAAAAAAATTGATGTGAAATTCCCATGTCCATAGCAGAGTGGAGTTGGAACACAGCCACGCTGGTTTGCATGTTGACTGTGGCTGTGTGAGCAGTAGAGCAGTTGATTTCTTCCAGAAGAACTTCTCTCTGTGCACTATATTCATGGCTTTTCCCTGCTGCTTAGGTGCTTCACGTCACAGTTACACAATTATAACTCATCGGCATGTTATGTACATTGGAACTCAAAGCCATGCGTTCCAATGTACTGTGTTATTTTAATCTTAAAAAAAAAAAAGTATATACCTATCTTGTTGAAACAAGAGCAGAAAAGTAGACTTCAAATGTTGAGTTCTTTTGACAAAGCGGAGTAAGGATTTTCTTGTTACTGAATTAGACAAGGAATCATTGTTTATTATGCGATGGCACTAGAATTGTGCTAAAAGAACATAATGTACGTTAAATAACAGAAGATTAAGCAGTCAACACAATATCTGCAGTTTATGGAGAAAAACGATCAGTAAAGTAAAATTCATTGCAGTTTTTCATCATAGAAGAATTTATTTACAAACTTTAAAAAGTGAAATGAGACTTCAACGAGAGTAAGTCTGCAGCTAGCTTATTTGTTAGCAAAGCACAGAAAGCCCTTTACTTATGGTGAGTTAAAGAAATCACATTTGATCGTGACAGTGGAAGAGATGTGTCCTGAGAAAATTTGTTTCACACCATTAGAACATTTTGTCTGGCAGCAACATCAATGTCGACTGAAGAACAAGGCAAATGAAACCCCGTTGCTTCCCTTGGCTCTTGTAGTTATGACATAGATCAGTTACTGATATTTATTAAAGCTCCATTGCTAAACTTGAGATTGAATAATTAGTCTTGATGAGTAATTTGCATGAAGCAACTACAAGCAAGGATGTTTTCAAAGAATTTGCAAATTCAATAATTCACTGTGACTTGAAGTGGATCTAGAATGATGTGTAACAGTTGGCAGTGGTAAAAATAAGTGTGGAATAGAAAAAAAAAGGCTTGGATGAATGTACAAAATTTTTGAAAATGCAGGGTATTTATAAAGTTTGTTATATTACTGATTGGCAAGTACTTTGTAGAAAATATTTTAATCGATCATGTTATTGAGCTAATACGGTCAGATGTGTACTTCTTTTGCTCTTGTAGACTTAGCCATTATCATTTGTGAATTTTTGTAAGAAATGGATGCTGATATGCTACTTCCCCAACCATCTAGTAACCTAAAAACAGCTTACGAGATCAGGGCCAAGGCTGAAATTTTTCTAAAAAAACTATCCTCAGTCACCATTATTGAACACTGAATGGCTTTAGAAGTTAATAGCTTTTGCTTATTTTGATGTTGAATTATCAAATTGATATCTAAAATCTAATATTTTATACTGTAATAATTTTAGAAAAAGCACTTAAAAATTAATGGTTAAATTAGGTTTCTACTTAATATTTGATACTGTTTCTTAATGAGTTCAACCTAAAATTACAAGGCAAAACAGCACTGAAATAAGAACCATAACTCTAGTAAATTTACATTGACAATGTTTGAATCATAGATGAAGTCGAATTACTTTATACACTTCCCTTACGACCAAAAGTTAAAACACGATATGAGATCTCTATTCCCAAGCAAAATTGGTGCAGATATATTTTCTATGCTCAACCTACATTTCTAGTAGTTTCCTTTCCTACTGTACCTTCCTCATATTGTGGATTATTAATTGTGGAGACACACACATATTTAAAATTATTTCACTTTAACAACATTGGAATCTTGAGAGGAAAGGAGGTAAACGTGCTTGCCATCTTAAACTAGTAATAAAAGAATCATAAATCTATGTAAATGCTTTTGATTGTTTATGTTGAGAGCTAATTCTATTTTCTTGAACAGTTCTCCCTAAACCAGTCTCATTCACTCATTGCCTCAACAGTGACCTTAATGTTGAACCTAGAGGCATAGAATCTGATAATGAAGAGAGATACAAGCACACATAATGCAGTGGCATAGATATGGTAATGGGGATGTGTACAGATGCTGTGGGCAGATAGAAGAGGGGGTGACTGTTCTCATATGGTAAGTGCATACAGATTTCAAAGGAAAAAGGATATTTGAACTGGATTTTAAAAGTTAGAACCAGAAGTTTACCCTACACAGAGAGAATAGCACATCTCGGCAAGGAAGAGGAGACACTATAGAATGTAGTTGGATGTGACAGGATACTGGGTTGGTAACTTAGGGGCAGATTATAAAGGCCCCTGAATAGTGTTCCCAGAAAATCTGGTTTGGGGTGCCAATATCTACTGCAATGGAGTCGGCTCATAATATCATAATATCACATCCTATTAAGTAGTTTACTATTAGTGATAAACCAACCTATCTGACAAACATTTTCACCTACTTTTATCTGTACTCTATTTGCAATATGAAAGCCAAATTGGCGCTAGTACAAATTGAGGCTGAAATCTGCTTGGGTGAGGTTTTAGAAGTTTTTGTGACAGGAAGAGACTTTTAAGTATCTTTGAAATGGTCTAAAATGGCAAGTCACACTTGATTTTATCTACACAGATTAACAATTTTTACCTACTTTGCCTGTCTAATCTTTTTTTTTTTTGAAACTATCAATTTTCTTTGTATTTTAGTGGACGGAAGACTGCAGAAAATCAACCTATCCTCCTTCTGGACCAACGTGAGTAAACATCATATGGCTAAACTCACTTTGACCTTTGTGGAGATTTTGTTTGATCTCATAAAAATAACAATAAGTCATATCTTCTATCCGGAGACAATTTTTCCCCCCTCAGACTTGTGTTTTATGCATTTGGCCAAGACCCTGAACAAATAGGAAAATAACCACAATGAAAAATATCCCTTTCTATCAAAATCATAGAAGAGTAGAGAATTTCTATTCTCTACTACTAAGTTTTTCTACCACTAAGAACTTTTCCTGACAAATACAGAACTCACCTGTGATTTTCTGTGATAGATTAAACTACCAGGTTACATTGGAGCAAACGTGTATAGGGTCACGTAGATGAAACATTTTGAAAATAAACCCTGGCGTCATACCACAGCTATGGAGAACAAAACATAAGGGACGAAACACCGTCAGGTTTTCATATGCTTAACATTAATGTTTTCCGTCTAGCATGTTGGCCTTTTTAAAATCCTTTGTGGCTAAATGGACCTGTTAGAAAGATACAGAATAGCTCAGCACCCCCGAGGGTACAAAGGAGAAGGAGGAGGAGGTGTCGGGAATGGTAGTCATTTTTGTTCTGTTCTTCCTGCTTGATGCTGAGGGGACGGGAAGGCAGAATACCATTTTAACCACTAATACGAAGATAACACTTAGGGGCTTTGTAGCACTTAACATAATTCTAAATTATGTGTCCTAAGTAGCCTCTGTCCCAGATACAATGAAACTGTAATAAACTAAATTATCTTTATTTACTCACCTTCCTGTAGAAAGAGGCAAAAATTTGAGAGCAGTAGTCATTGGCAGAGTAGTGTAAAGACAGTTGGTTTCTGTTACCCTAAAGCCCTGTCTCTAGTGGCTGCTCTTCAAGTCTCCCATCACCATTGGCACCATATTGGTCTCCAATGCCTTGCTGAGTGCATGCTGCATCTCTTGGCTGTTCTCATGGCCCCACTTCATTGAACATTTAGCAAGTAACTGCTACTTTTAAGGATTTTCTCCTTCCCCCTTTTATGTGTGCCTTATATGTGTCTATGAATTGATTACCATGCAAGTCTTTCCTGCTTGGACATTTAACTAGTTCCACACTGCAGCATGTGCACACACACATACATACATGTATGTGTGTGTGCACACATGTACGAAGAACATTTTTCTTATCGTTATATATGTATACATAATGCACATATTTTGGCCATAGTGTTTCTGGCACATTCCTTCCTACCTTGCTAACCTGGTTCCTAGGCAAAAATCCTTAGTACTACTCTGTTCCTTCCCTTGTCTGAACTTTAAATGAATCTTGAGATCTGGGAAGGAAATGTGATATTCATACCCCTTTGAATCACAGAAAAATAATTCTCCTATACTTTTAAGGTCATCCTTTTCAATCAAGGACATAAATTAGCATGGGCAGCTGTGAGGGAGGAAAGAAACACCTGTTTATCCAGACTGACAAGTCACATCAGTGCTGGAGGTCAAGGACTGACAGACAGATCACCCCTTTATCCATCTGAACCCCATTAACATTATTTTTTTATAGCTCACTGGTGCTTTGCATCTGCTCTCTTATTTATATGTATTTGTGTTGTGTCACTTGGACACGTTTCTAAGCCACCTGGGGAGCCAGATGGTTTCATTCAATTAATATTGATTACGATGACCTCGCTGCAGCAAACACTTAAGTCTCAAAAATAATGATGTCTATTGTTCATAATAAGCTAGGAAAATATATGATAGTATATTATGGTTGATTTAATACTGATATTTCTCAACATTTTCTGCATATTTCTTGTAATTGTCACCACCCTCATAAGGTAGATGCTCTATTTCTCTAGGAAATTGAGGTGCAGATTTGAATTTTTTTTTAATTATATTTCTGTGTAGAAGAACTGGGGTATAGGCCAGAGGTGTAGGGTGAGGGGTGGGGGGAGTGAGAGGATTCATCAGAGACAGAGTGGGAAGCAGAACAGGCAAACTGACTGAAATACACTGCTGAGGGGAGAAGCAGGAGAGATGGGAGAGGTCTGCTGCATCAGTGGGTTAGCTCCCTGGCCAGGGATGGAACTCAGGCCTTAGAGGTGATAGCGCTGAGACTTAATCCCTAGGATGGAGGGTAGAGGGGGTGATGCAGATGTTAAATATTGAGATATTTTAGAAAAATATTTATTGTGATATGAAATGTTGGATTATGGTAAGCTTTATTTATTAAATTAATTTTGTTGATCAGATTAACAATTCTCTCAAAGAATTCTGATTCTATCCTGAAATAAATTTGTCTGGGGTCTCTCCATCTTCAATTACTTAAAATCCTCTGCTGCATTATATATTTACTCTCCTCTGGAATCCTTGAGCTATTTAGAACTCTATACTGAAAAAAGAATCAGGAGAGGGATATGGTTGGGTTTTGTTAGATGTTGTGAGGAGAAGAGCAGCTTGTTGAAGTTCATGGGCAGAACACAAATCTTAGGACAATTTCACAGCTATGAATAACTTCTGTGGGCTGCTGATTTATGCTTGCCACCAGACACAGAAATCCAAATGCATGCTGATGGGGAGGGGAGGAGGTCACTGGCATCTTCCCATAGTAGAAAGAACAGTAATTATTTAATTTAATTTAGATAATCAGCTACTACAGAAGTGGATTTTAAAAATCCTTTGAGAAGAACAAAATTCATTCATTGTGATCTTCTTTAAATGTGTACAGCACAAGAGGCTGCTGTGTCATAAAACCTGAAACATCCACCCAGAGCCCAGACTCAGCAGAATTATTTAGAGATTCAAATAATTATTCATGACCACAGGTGTTTAAATAGGACCACAGTTCATGACTTTTAGGAACTAACCCACCCTGCCCTAGGCATTTCTCCTTCACATTGCGGAACTTGGCAACACCTTCTCCTTCTCTGGAGCAGAGCAACAATAGAGCAGAAGAGGTCTATTTTTAGGCATAGTTTTAAGCTGATAAATCACTAAATAACACCCCTATAGAGGCTGCTTCAGCTTAACAAGTGCCAGAAGATAATGTTTCTATTGCAACAGAGAAAATGGCTGTAGAGTTCACCAACCAGAAGTATTGCTCGGCTCTGTTGATAAGGATGTGGACAGTGTTTGTCTTCATAGTAGTAAAAGAACAGGTAGCTGGGGATAGAGTATGATAGAACAGTACTTGGGCTTGAACTTAATCCAGAAGACTGAGAAGAGGCCTCCCCGGTGGTGCAGCGGGTTGAGCACAGTGCTTTGAAGCTGTCCGCAGCCTCTGCAGTACAGGTTCGATTCCCGGCCGGCCAGGGAGATTCCCACATGGTGCAGCGGACCTCTCCTTTCGCGCCCTCTTCTCCCCTCAGCAGTGCTTTCGGTCTTTCTGCCTGTTCTGCACCCCACTCTGTCTCTGGTGAATCTTTTCACCCACCCATGCCTCTAGCCTGTACCCCAGCTATTGTATAAATAAAAAATAAATCTTTAAAAAAAGAAAGTATGAGAAGAAAGGAAGTAAGGAAGTGTAGGATGATTGAAGAGCGAAGGTTCTATTTGGGGACCTTAAAGGGTCTCTCACTGAGACCGACAGTAGAGAAGTTGATTTGGCAGTAGTGTTAGGTTGTCTAAGAGGAAATTCTGAGACTGAGAAATCAATTAGCAAAGTGCCTACACTAAATCTGCAGATTTAGGAAGAGGAAAATCAAGGCAGATATTTCCTACCGGTGCTATTCAGGCTTTTTATATATATATCTATCTCTTGAACCAAAATTATATTAACCAATTCTTGAACCAATTCATATTAACTTTCCAGAATGTATAATTCTATTTCAAAATTTCTGAAACTATTCTTACTTGGGTGTGGAACGTACAGAAGCACTGGGTGGGAAAGCGCTTTTTTTACTATTTTTGGTTTGAGTACCAGCTTCTATATTGCTGTTAAGAATACACCTCTAACATATCCATATAGATGTAAGTATATAATCCTCAAAGCCTCATCAAAAATTTGCTTTCAGTATTTCAAGATGATGCACCTCTCATTACAGGTATAGGGGTCCAGTTCCATGGTACACCATAAATCTTGACTTACCACCCTACAAAAGATGGCATGAATTGATGACTGACAAGGCATCAACGGTATGCTGACTCTTAAAGCTTCTCTTTGTGACTTTACTGAATACAATTGCAATTTTGAAAGAATGCTACATGAAACTGTACACCAAGTATTTTAAGAATACTTTGATACTTCTCTGCCATTTACAATGAATGATAGCATAGAAAAAGATGTCATCTCTGTATAGCTACTTGCTCTTTTCAGGGGGTTTTAATTTTTTTTTTGGCCTTTGTTTCTTCCTCTTACTGTCATCTACCTTCATCTGAGTAGTTAAGAATCAAATGCCACATTAAGGACAAAATTAGACTGCTTGTGTTTATCACTAATTGAAATTATTTTCAAATAGCACTATTCGATTTAGCTACATATGCATATGTTTAATAAAAACAGATAGCAATCTTAGTGTCAAATTTCAGCACTGCTTTGTTTCTTGTTATTTTTTTTGTTTTTCAGCTAAAGATAATAGTGAATTCCCTGAAGGATGTAGTAAATGCATTTGTGCCAAGTGGAAAGGTTATACAGCTAGTGGATCAAAAATTGGTAAGAAATACTACTTCCCATAATAAATTTCTTTTGTTTATTGAGGTCATTCATTTCTAACCTTACATAAACTTCAAGTATACAACTTTCTGTTTCAACACCTGTATAAATCACGTTATAATTATCATCAAAGGTCTGGCTTATGACAATGATAAGTTTTAAACACCCACATATACATAGAATTAAGAGAGGGTTCTGGTATTTTGTAAAGATATAATTTGACATCCTCTTCTAAGAAGCATTGACAGGTTTGCATTTACTTTAGACCACTGTCAAAACTTCATAGGAACTTAAAATTCTGGGGCTTGGTAGTATTACAATAACAAGGCACAATATAGCATACATATTTTGCAGCTTACTGCCGGGGACCAGCCTCCGGCAAAATGTCGTGTCAGGGTTCCTGAAAGGATGAGACGGCGTTGGCGAATACGAATGATCTGAAACTTAGGGACTGAGGGGAAGGGAATGAGGTAGAATGAGAAGATACTGACACTTTTTGCAAAAAATGTATAAATAAAAAACCTACTGAGCCTTTCGGCAGAAGATACTAACTACCTCATTCCCTTCCCCTCAGTCCCTAAGTTTCAGATCATTCGTATTCTCCGATGCCGTCTCATCCTTTCAGGAACCCTGACACGACATTTTGCTGGAGGCTGGTCCCCGGCAGCTTACTACTCTTTAATGTTTGGTAAAGGTATGCATTGTTTTATAAAACAATGGGCAAATAAGCATACATCATTTGGGACTATGGCATTTCCTACCCCTTGTAATACTTAGGTTTGCAGATTCCCTATTGAAAATTTGTGTGTTTTTCTTAAGTACTTTTGCCTGAGTTGTTTCAGGACACCCAGAGATTCTTCTAGATATGACCAAATGACGTATTCAGCCCAACCCTTTATTTTATGGAGCCCTTCAGGAGCTATGACCATTGAAACTCGATTGCTTGGGCATTCACCAAGGGTTTTGTTTTCTTTCTGGTCACGCACAAAGACTCCATTTCTCATCCCCTTTTTTCTTTATTTTTGGTGAAACCAGTGGAAAATCTAGGTCTGGCGCTCTAGGCCGCCTGAGAAATCCTCATCACCTTCTTTTAGTCTTTGCTCTTCAGTGCAGATTTTTTTAACCTTGGTAGAAGTGATATTTGGAATCAAATAATATATTGTTGTGGGGACTCTCTAAGCATTATAGGATGTTTAGCAGAATCCCTGACCCTACCCACTGGATGCCATTAGCACCCTTCAGCCATGACAGCCAAAAAGGTCTCTTAACATTGCCAAATCTTCCCTGGGGCAGGGGGTTGGGGCCATACTGCCTCTGGTTGAGAATCATTGTCCTAGAGGCAGGATGCTCTGGGTATTTTATGCCTACCATAATATACCTGTCAACCACCAAACCAGTGATTTATGTTTATGTTTTAAGAGCCATTGGTTAAGGCTGGTGTTTATGTTCATACTAACCAGGCTTCCCAAAATAAAAATGTTGGCAGAAACAGTGAAAGAGGGGCTTCCCCTGGTGGCGCAGCGGTTGAGCGCTGGGCTGCAAAGCTGCCTGTAGCCTCTGCAGCGTCGGTTCAATCCCCTGTCGCTGGCGAGGGTCCCACATGGCACAGCAGACCTCTCCTGCCACGCCCACAGCTCCCCTCTGCAGTGTGTTTCGTCGGTCTAGCTGTTCTGCTCCCCGCTCTGGCTCTGGTGAATTCTCTCACCCTCCCGTGCTTCTGACTGTACCCAGTGCATGTATAAACAAACAAACAAACAAATAAATAAATAAATACAGCATGCCTCTATTAAAAAAAAAATTTCTTTAAAAAAAAATAATAAAATAAATAAATAAATAAATAAATATCCAGGTTTTGTGATCAGACAACTTTGGGTGTTTTGTTTGTTCTTTAAACATTCGATTTTAAGTCACACACTAGTGGTATATCCAACAAATTTCTTAACCTTTGAAACTTAATTTTCTCATCAGAGAGCATTTACAGATTTCATATGGTGGTTGTGACTACTGAATGACATGCTGTATGCAAATCCCAGTGCCTGGATGTAATAAATGACTGATAAATATATAATTCAGTGAGGATATATAATTCAGTGAGGATACTTGTGCAGTGCTTTGAACACTTAGGAGGAAAAATTAGTATTCTTAGTTAAGTCATATTACATGTAAATAACAAGTTGGTCAGAAATGAGACTTGTGATTTTTAATCACATTGTCTCACCAAGAGTTTGTAAGCTTAACTAGTGATCACATTGTTAGCAAATAGCTGTTGTTGAGAATGTCTGATGTCCACCATTGAGTTAGTTCATGCGTTCATTACAGCTCCAGAATGCAGTGAATACATATGAGCCCCAAATCAGCCATTTACTATGAGTGAGGAGAATACAGATTTGCTGCTTTGAGTGTGAGAAGGAAATAGTAGTGAGTTGTAATGCCGGTGGCTGAAGAATGACTTCAAGTAGAGAGATAAGGCGTGTTTGTGATGTTCCTGTGTTGTGATTTATGTTAGATTATCAGCTGGATATATTACAATTTCTTATCTCTCTACAGGAGAAAAACAATCCTAAGGCTGGAATAAGCAATGACAATCATAGTTCTCTGCTTAATATCTGAGAACAGATAAGCTGAAGGAACAAAAACAAGAGTTAAAGAACTAGGGTCCCAATATTGAGTATTATTTAGAATCTTTTAGAACTATCATGATGTAAATATGCTAAATATGCTTTTAAACAAAATATATGCTTTGAAAAAATTAGGTAACCTAGTGTTACCATAATTGGAATAATAAATTATTTTTTAAAAGAGAAGGGTATAAGAAAAAAAAAAAGTTTGTCACCTATTAATGATAGCAATATCTAGAACAAGTTATATGTATAGACTCATATCTCAAAGCAACCCAAATAATTTAATTATTATTAAATTATTTGTATTTCAGCCTGGCATGCTTGGTCACTTTCCTGGACCTTTTGAGGAAGAAATGAAGGGGATTGCAGCTGTCACCGGCATTCCTTTAGGTAAAGTTCACTTTGCAGCTGTTACAAATTTAGTCAAGTGCTTCGAAAGTCTTCTATTGCAGAATGGCATAAATTCAGTAAGTGCACAAATATTAAGTGCACAAATCTTAAAACTCACTAGAGTTTTAAAAGTGCTTATATACATGTAGTCACAACTCGGATTGAGATATAACATTTCCAGCAATCCAGAATGCTCCATGATGCCCCCTCACAAACAGTATTGCTTCCCTAGGTAACTCTTATTCTGACTTCCCCATAGATTAGTTTTGCCTCTTCTTGAACTTTTTATGAATAGGACTGAAAAGTATGAAATGTGTCTGGTGTCTTATACTTGTCATTATAGGTAGCATGCTGTTGTATGACTAGGATATGTTGGGCTTGTTTCCAGATAGAATAAAACATTATGAACATTCTTGTACATGTCATCATATTTTTAGTTATTGATGTCTTTTAGAAGCTATTTTTAAATGTTCACTTTCCAATAGCATTTCAAGAAAAAGACTTTTCTACCATCACAAAGTTTTATTTTTAAGCCAACAAAGCAATAGGATTGTTATAAATAGCTAGCAATACCTTGGTTTTACAAGAGAGATAGTAAAGCCTTTCTGAATATCAGTGGTATTTATTAACAAACATTGCTAGATTTTTTCCATTGGTTTGCTTCTTTTAAAGCCATTCTTTAAAAAGGTAGTCAACTTACTGGAAACATCAATTCCTCTATCATATAAAGAACCCTGGCAAGTGACTATAACAAATAGCTCAAGAGAAAAATGAATTAAAATGATTCATAATAAAAGAAAGTAAGAGTAGTATTTCACCACAGTAGAAGTCAAATGGAAATAAAATGAACATTAGATCATGATGGGGAAAAATGTGAAACCTAATGTGTTAAGATAAAATAGGACATAAAAGGTGGGTTGTATACTTTCAAGCTAAATTCTAAGTGGACTTATTATAGTTTTGGGAAAATATTTAATAATTAGAATGTTATAAATGGGTTTTCTGCAGATTTTATTAATAGTTCCTCTATCTCTTTTCTCTCCTTAGAAATGTTAGTCACATTCTAAAGTCTAGCAAAATGCATTTTCAGCATAAACCATGAGTCAGATATATTAAGTTATCATATTAGAGGCCCCCAAAGAAAATAAAAATGTAGCACACTGATGAAAAATGTGGACCCAGATGCCAAGCTTGCCTTATGGGGAACCATTTTTATCTTGAGTCTACAGAGACCACACAGACTAGTAAGTCACCACCAACTATCCAGGCTTACTCAGGCTGCAGGTCACTTTTATATATCAAAGGAAAAACTCACTCAGTGATGATAGTTAAGCTTTTTCTTGAAAAATAATTTTCTAATACTGTCATGGTTCTCTATATTGACCAAAAAATTTCCTATCTTTTCTTGTAGGAGAGATTATTTCATTCAATATTTTCTATGAATTTTTTACCATTTGTACTTCAATAATAACAGAAGACAAAAAAGGTAAATGTGTGCTGAGGGAGGATGGGCCATGCACAGTACAAAGTAAAAGAAAAACCTAAATAAATGGGATTGGAATTAGTAAAATCTAGGTTGTTAATGTTGCTTCTGTGTATGCTGATACAGTGTTAGAGAGCTTGGTAAATTTTTAAAAGTGAATTGAAAACTATGTTAAGACCAATGTAATGCCTGTTGATATTTAAGTCAGGTGTTTCAGGCTCCTGGTCTACTCATACCCAGCTTCATGTTTGGCATAGTCTTCAAATACTTAATACCCCAAACTTGCATCAAAAGCCAGGACAGACCTCCCATCATTTCCCAGCCAAATGACCTTGTGTAGAACAGCCTGACATTACCATGTTTTTCCTGACAATTCCCCAGAGCACAGGATGGTTTGCTCTCATTCACTCTTATCTTTTACCTGTGCTTCAGTATAAAGGGCTATACCTAGCCTTTGAGGTGTCCAGCTGTAGGTGACAGTCCCTGAAGGGAAGCTGTTGGTAAGTCTTATTAGGCAAGGCTAATATAGCTGTGTCCAGGTAGAGCCTTGTCATAGTGGACCACTGGTCCTTTTTCCATATTCTCATTCTACCTGAAACCCTGATCATGTTGTGGGGCTTCTGGTTGACATGGCATCACTATAGGTGATCTTGTTAACATCATCTTTATGTACTTACATATCAGGATAATGCTTCATCCTTATGTTGGATTGAACAGTTATGAATATCAGTTAAGCAGAATTAATTGCTTTAGAATCATTCATACTGTCAACTTCTACATTTCTCTTCTGCTTACTTTCAATTAGGTCATCTACTGCATGGGCGAAACATGGATTTTGGAGTATTTCTTGGGTAAATAAATAATGTGGTATGATCAGTCCCTGAGAAGAGCAGATTGTGTTACATTGATGAAAATAAGCCCATGTCATGTCCAAAATGTGACCAGAAGTGAAGACATTGGATTTCTGGTTTTGAGACAAGTTGGCACACTGGTTTTCAGTTATTGGAGCATTTGAGTTGCACCTAGTGAGCAGGAATCTGAACCATGCACATCTAGTTACTGCTTCTAAGGAAGAGAAGTATTCTATTTTGTGTATCATCCTGACCTTTCTCAAAAAAGTGTAACAGTAATTAGCAACCTAAATTTGAATCTGGGATTTGTTCTTTATAGGCAGGTGTATTGGAGAATTAACTTCTCTGAGCTTGTTTGTCATGTGGAAAATGAAGGAGAAAACAGTCCATATTGCAAAGTTCTCATTAGAACTGATCTTTAAAGGGAGGGAAGTGGGGAGATGGCTCAAAAACAGGGGAAGGAAGAGCACAAGGGACTTTGGTGATGAATTACGGGTGCTGTGGTGGTGGGGGAACTACAGGGACCACACCAAAGGGGAGAAATCAAATAGTAACCAAAAATTAACCAAAATGTAAAAAATCAATAAATAATTTTTAGAGATCAATAGCTAAAGCACCTAGTGTAACACCTGGCCATCATTATAGTCTTCGTTATTATCATTGTTTACTAAAGACACTGAAATTTGTCTTTCATAGGTGGAATACAAATAATAATTCCTGGGTCGTCACCGAGGAACTCAAACCTTTAACAGTGAATTTGGACTTCCAGAGAAACAATAAAACTGTCTTCAAGGCTTCAAGCTTTGCGGGCTATGTGGGCATGTTAACAGGATTCAAACCAGTAAGAAATCTATTTTTACCTAATTTTGCAGGTAGCTCTGTTCTGTGTCCTGCTATTACTCTCTGCGAAGGGTGGAGTCCAAGGAAATGAGGAGCTAAAAAAGAATATGAAACCCCAGTTCATCCCTTTGTATTTTTTGTCTCCTTCATAGGTGTGAGCTTGCATGGTAGAGTAGAAAGCAAATGAAGGTTGCTAATCCCGTTCTTGGGAAAAGGCATGTGGCTGGGTGTTGAGGGCTCAGAGTCGAAATCTGGGATCTGGTCCTAGTTCTGCCACTCAGGCAAGTTAGGCATCAATTCTCTGCGCTTCAGTTTCCTTATCAGACAAGTGTGACTGATAATGTCCCTCTTGTTTAACATATTTGATGTGAAAATACTTTGACCTTCTAAAAAATCTGTTATTATAAGTGATATTATTGTAGTTGCAGTTTTTCTTTGCAATCCTCATTACCCAGTTCAGGCCTTGGTCCAGCTCTATAATGTGTAGTGAGAGGACTTCAAACAGCATGGTTGACATTTCTAACTTCATTATTTGTCTTATTCTTAGGGTCTGTTTAGTCTTACACTAAATGAACGTTTCAGTCCAAATGGTGGTTATATTGGTGAGTGGCAAGTTCTTAAAAGAAAGGGGATTCACAGATGTTTGAAGAGGAGGGAGGACTATGCCTTCTAGTTATATAGTCTTAACCTCTTGCATGTCTTGTGACTGCGTTTGATCTCTTCCAGGTATCCTAGAATGGATTTTGGGAAAGAAAGATGCCATGTGGATAGGGTTTATCACTAGATCTGTTCTGGAAAATAGCACAAGGTAATCTCTTCAGTTGCTTCATTAGCAAGCATAATATTTTAATTTTTTATTCATTTTTTAAAAAGATTTATTTTATTTATTTATGCATACAAGAGCTGGGGTGCAGGCCAGAGATGCCAGGAGGGTGGTGGTGAGAGGATTCACCAAAGACAGAGCGGGGAACAGAACAGAAGGACTGACTGAAGTACACTGCTGAGGGGAGCAGCAGGCGAGACAGGAGAGGTCTGCTGTGCCATGTGGGTAGCTCCCTGGCCAGGGATCAAACTCATGTTGCAGTGGCTGTCGACAGCTTCATAGTGCTGAGACTTAACCCCTTGCACCACTAGGTAGGCCCAATATTTTATTTTTTTTAATTGAAATAGACTGACATATGCTAGTTCCAGGTATACAACATAATGATTCACATATAGTGAAATGTGTATCATTATAATAAGTAAAGTTAACATCTGTTGCACACAACTACAAATTTTTTTACTCTGGTGATGAGAACTTTTAGAATTTACTTTCTTGGCAACTTACAAATGTACAATTCAGTGTTATAAACTGTGGTCTCCATGCTGCACATTACATCCCCATGATTTATATAACTGTAGGTTTGTACCTTTTGACTCCTTCACCCATGTTGCTCAATCCTTTATCCTCCTCCTATATTCTCTGTATCTGTGAGCTTGGGGGAGGTCTTTGTTTCCTGTCTTTAGATATCAAATGTAAGTAAGACCATCGTATTGTCTTTCTCTGATTTATTTCTCTTAGTATAATATCCTCAAAATCCATCCCTGACAAGATTTCATTCTTTATGATTGAAAATTATTCCTCTGTGTGTGTGTGTGTGTGTGTGTGTGTGTTTATAATGAGGAATGAATACACCACATTTTTTTATGAGTCATCCATTGATGGACACTTAGGTTGTTTCCATATCTTAGCTACTATAAATAATGCTGCAGAACCATGGTTGTGCAGATATCTTTTCATAATAATGTCATTGGTTTGGTTTTTTTTGTCCGTTTTTTGGATAATTACCCAGAAGTATAATTGCAGAATCATATGGTAGTTCTATTTTTAATTTTTCAGACTGTTATTTTTAACTTTTATACTGTTTTCCATAGTGGCTGCACCATTTTACAGTCCCATCAATAGTGCATCAGGATTCCCTTTTCTCCACATTCTCCCCAACACTTATTTACTCCTGTCATTTAATAATGCTTATTCTAAGGTGTGAGGTGTTAATCTCATTGTGCCTTTGGTTTGCAGTTCCCTGATGATTAATGATGTTGAGCACCTTGATCATATGATTTAACCCTCATTTTGTTAATGTGGTGTATGTATCACATTGATAGATTTGCAAATACTGAACCATCTTTACATGGTTAACGGGGTCATAATGATAATACTTACATAATTATCTGTTAAATGTAATATGGCTTATTTTAATTGCTCATATTAAAAGATTAAAATATTTCCCAGTTTATCATCCATCAAGAAAATAGTTCAGAATTTTTCAGGGGAATCTTTGAAACTCATGTAATTATTCACTTTGTGTGTGCTTATAACAAGGAAGTGAATTTACTTACTTAAAAAGTGCTGGGGACTTTTCCACTATGAGGAACATCTATCACTTTTCCTTGGTATACAATAAACACAAAAGGAAATTGTACAAAAAAAAAAATCATCATTGAAGTCTTACTACCTATTAACCTAGAAGTTATAATCTACTCTGGTACAGAAATTTTATAATAGCAATACTGCTTTTAGCTTACACTACATCCAAATGACCTAGAATAAATAGGTGTCAATTCTATTTGTTTTCCCTTTGTTATTACAACTAGGAAATTTCCATTCCTAGTCAACTAAAAATGTTTTTTTTTTTAAATGTTTCTATGTAGTTATGAAGAAGCCAAGAATATACTGACCAAAACCAAGATATTGGCCCCAGCATACTTTATCCTGGGAGGCAACAAATCTGGGGAAGGCTGTGTGATTACACGGGGCAGAAAAACAGCTTTGGATATATATGAGTAAGTACACTTGTTAAAGCAAAATAAGTAGAACTGAAGCATCATGTGACTCACTAACAGGTTGAAAGCTTAAGAAGAACCTCCCTTTGTATCTAGACTCAACCCCCAAAAGGGCAGATGGTATGTGGTACAGACAAATTACGACCGTTGGAAAAATCCCTTCTTCCTCGATGATCGCAGAACACCTACAAAAATGTGTCTGAATCGGACAACCCAACAGGTACATCCCCAGTGTCATTGACAGGAGCTGGTGACCTAGTGATCTAGTTCTGGCATTTTCTTTGACCTTCTAGGATTTTATAAATCTCATCCGGTAACTTTAAATAGTCCCCACTAAATTTTTGTTTTCTGTAGTTTTTTCATTTAAAGAGCTAAACTTTGCCTTCCTTTCCCTAATTCTAATGTTGGACCCCTCTGAAGCTGAATGATATACAGGCAAGAAGGGAGGAAGAGACAGAAGGACGTGTTCCCTTAGCACCACTACCTCTGTTTCTAACAGTGACCCCAAGGAAATTCTTTCTAGGGGTGTTGGGAAGGTTCATTGAAGAGTGTCTTGGTTTCTTATGACTCATTTAATGTAGCTAAGCTGCTGCTAGTTGTAACTTGTGGAACAAAACTACTTTTGTGTTTCAGAATATCTCATTTGCAACCATGTATGATGTCCTGTCAACAAAACCTGTCCTCAACAAGGTATTTTAATTCTATGTATATTTGCTAATTTTAGGGAAAGAATTTGGTCCTGTGCTTATGTGCTGTTTCTATTCATGATCCGGAATAATGGTTTCATTAAAGTCAGTTGTTTCAGTCTTTGTTATTAGCTTATTACTTATTAACTATTTGTATCATTATGTTATATAATACATTATATATCTTATATATAATTCCATGTTAATTATCTAATATTAAGTCATTTCATAACACAATTTCACAAGTATAGAAATACTAGAAATACATCTTGAAATTGACAACATCCTTAAAGTAGGACTAACTTTTCTTTCAGCTGACTGTGTTTACAACCTTGATGGATGTCACCAAAGGTCAATTTGAAACGTACCTGCGCGATTGCCCGGACCCTTGTATAGGCTGGTGAGCACCCCGGGCCTTCAGCGTGAGCTCCGCAGCACAAGGTGGGAGCTCCGGCTTAGCTGACTGAGCAGCCATCCGACCTTCCAAAGATTCCGAATCAGGACAGGTTGTCATTGAGGCGTGTGCTGTCCTTCTCAGTGTGTTTACAATTCACATGCTATTTTTGCCATAACAGCTGATTGTTCTTATTTACAGATAACTTCCTTAAGTACAGTACAGCAGTTGTTGAGAATTTGCTGAGTTTCATTTCACGTTGACATTTGTGGATGAGGATGGGCAATTAAACTATTGTGGGTCCCACCTCCATGTAATGAAATGAGGTTCTCTGTGGGCGTTGAATCCAGTGCATCTGTGTGAGTAATAAAATAAATGGTCCACACTAAGCAGTTTTTCACTTAAATCTACATGATTGTATGTTTTCTATATAACAATCTTTTCTCACTGGTTCTGACTGCTATTAAAATTAATATGCCATTGTCTTTGCTGTTTGTAGCAGCGATTTAATTTCATTAATTTTGATTGGAGGGAGATGAGATGGACGTTGAACTATGTATTTCTCTTACTGGACAATTCATGGGCCTTTGATTCTAAAGAGAAGTACTTTTTGGGGTTCTCAAAGTAATCTGTATGCAAGGTAGTCTTTTATGTAGAGAGTTGAAATGTTCCTTTTTTATAATTACTCTACCTCCTAGAAACCCCAGGAAGTGGTTAACTTCAAAAACTGAGCCCCAGGTTCTGTGAGTAAATGGTAAATAAACAGGTCAAAGACTTGTGGAAAATGGGAAGTAAACCGCCATTATTTTAAATTCTAAATAACATTAATAAATACATTTTTGTCACTCTGATTAGTATGTGTTTTTTTAAAACTAGAGTTACTAAAAATGTTTTTCAGAAATCCAGCTATTTATGAAAAGTGCTAATAGAACTTGCTAACCCTTCAAACTTTCATAACTGTGAAATGCATGCCAATTGGGCAAGACTGTATCCGCTTCATTTCTATAAAATGTCAGTTGTATTCAATACATTCAATAAACAATCATTGGCAGTAGTGTCAGCCAGGTGTCATGTATGCTGATTGATGTGTACCTATGTGTCGGTCTGAGGGTGGCGATTATTATGGAGAAATCCAAATAATGTCTGAATTAAATTACAAGGGTTATGTAAATGGGTTATTCAACTTATAGCTAAATGTTACAATCTCTTATGATTAATCCCTCCACCTCTTAACCCATTGGAATCAGCCCCATGTGCAAGCGTCTAAAGGCAGCTTTCCCCACCAAGACAGAAGGTGCTTCCACAAAATTACAGTGACTCCAGTTTGAGCTTAGTGAACCAAGAGGAGTATGGGAGGATTTGTGTTAAAATAGAACTTAATTCATTAAAAAAAAAATGAAATGAGATAAACATCTTTTTCTAAAGTATAACCTTTGATATACATGATAAGAGGTGAGGTGATACTTGTTTGATTACTCAGTTAAATCAAGGAATTTAGAAGAAATGACAGCTGGAATTAAATTTTTAGGTATTGTTGTCTAGAGGTTTAAAAAGGCAGTTTATAGAATAGGATATATAGTTTAACCCTATTTTGGGGGGAAATGTAGGGAGGGGGTTCAAGGGCTTAGTGGACTGTGGTAGAAGACTGGGTGTCTTGGTGGTGAGTGTGCTATGGGAACATAAAGCTATCTGAATCATAGAGGGTGTTTATGTACCAATGTTACTTCAATAAAGGCAACAATTGAATAAAGAAGAAAATAGAAACAAAAAATAAAAATGTTAATCATTAAAAAAATTATAGAGCATTAAAATATTCTTTGAAATATTCTAAACCATCTTAGAATTATGTCTGTGAACAAAGTGGGCATCTAGCTCAGATGCCTCCAAAATAGCCTGCCAGTTACAAATGAACTTTATTTTTATACGTGGAAAACATCTGGATAATGCATATGTATATGTTGCATAACACAGCCTCATAGTAAATGTGTTTAATTTTGAAAATAGGAACTGATGCCAACCCTATATGAATTTGAGGAAAACATAATTCAAGTTACGCTCTCCAATAATCTAGTGGGCTAAAACAGCTCTCCCCACATATAGATAAGATAGAATGAGGCTAGGTTAATAGCTTACTTCAAAATATTATGATAAGTGATAAGAGTTTAATAAGTCAACGGTGAGGCCATGCATGCCCAGGTGTGAGTGGGTGAGTAAAATCTCATTACAGAAAGGAGCAATAACCCAGGAAAAGGAACTGCATGCCTAGAGCAGTTTCTGTTTTTTTTTTTAATAGAGGCATGCTTATTTATTTATTTGTTTGTTTGTTTTTGTTTATACATGCACTGGGTACAGTCAGAAGCACGGGAGGGTGAGAGAATTCACCAGAGCCAGAGCGGGGAGCAGAGCAGGCAGAAGGACCGAAGTACACTGCTGAGGGGAGCAGCGGGCGGCAGGGGAGGTCTGCGCGCCATGTGGGACCCTCCTCCGGTGGCCGGGGAGCAGCCGGGGGATCGAACCGGCGCCGCAGACGCTGTGGGCAGCTTCGCCAGCTTCGCAACCCAGCGCTCAACCGCTGCGCCACCGGGGAGGCCCCGAGCAGTTTCTGTTTTTCACGTACTCAGGTACAGTGGACCAGCCATATTGCCAAAATATGTTTTCATTTTAACTACTGAGAAATAGTACTCCTTTAAAACCCCTAATACCAAATGATTCATTATCAGCAGAGAATTTAGTTATTGTCTTAAATACAGAAAATCAAGTTTCAATATTCTTATATTTTTTTTCTGACTTAATTTTCAGTTTAGTTATGGTAGGATGTGTAAAACTGTCATTTCTGTTTGCCTTTAAGTATACTGAGTTCATTATATATAGTGTTGTATAGGGAAAGGTGTTCCTCTAAGTATTAAGAGATTGTGATGTTCTCCTATAACATGAATTTGAAGGAATATATCCACTCCTTTGTTCAATCCAGCACTATGTATAATAGTTTTATAATAATAGAAACTAATAGTTATAGTTTTAGTTTTACCTAATACACCATGTCATAGGTTGTCATACCTATGTTGTCATAAGTATAACTGGAGGGGATTTTGCTGTGAAATAAGTCAGAAGGAGGGCCTCTCTGATGGCATAGGGGTTAAGTCTCAGTGCTATTGCTGCTTTGGCCGAAGTTCAATCCTGGCCAGGAAACTAACCCACATACGGTGCAGCAGGCTCTCCTGTTTCACCTGTTGCTCACCTCAGCAGTGAATTTCTTTAGATTTTTTTTTAAAGATTTATTTTTATTTTTATTCAAGAAATGGGGTATAGGCCAGATGTGTGGGGAGGTGAGAGGATTCACCCGAGAAAGAGTGGGGAACAGAGCAGGCAGACCGACTGAAATACATTGCTGAGAGGAGTAGTGGGCAAAACAGGAAAGGTCTGCCCCGCCATGTGGGTATCATCAAACTGGCACTGCAGAGGCTGCGGACAGCTTCACAGCACTGCGCTCAACCGCCTGCGCCACCAGCGAGGCCCAGCAGTGAATTTCTTTAAATCCATCTGTTCTGCTCCCCACTTTGTCTCTGGTGAATCCTTTCACCCACCCTCACCTCTGGCCTGCACCCCAATTTTTCTACAAATAATTAATTTTTTTTAAAAAAGAAAAAGAAATCAGAAGTAGTAAGACAAAATCAGATGATTTAAAGGAACAACGAAAGAAATCCTAGAAATTTGACTGCAGAACTGAGGCTACCCAAGGGGCAGGGTATAGGATGAAGTGTAAAGAGGGACAAGAACCCAATGGGCTAATGTGGAGGATTATGGGTCCCTTATAGATTTATTTATGCATACAAGAACTGGGGTTATAGGCCGGAGGTGTGGAAGTGGGGTGAGTGTGAGAGATTCCCCAGAGACAGAGTGGGGAGCAGAACAGGCAGATTGACTAAAATACACTGCTGGGGGGAGCAGCTTGAAAGACAGGAGAGGTCTGCTGTGCCATGTGGGTTAACTCCCTGGCCTAGGATTGAACTCATGCTGCAGTGGCTGGTGATAGCTTCATAGAGCTGAGACTTAACCCCTTGCCCACCAGGGAGACCCCTGTCCCTTGATGTTGAGCATGGTATGGTAACATACATCTGAGGAGGTGTGGATATATACCAGATCATACAGTATAGTAACCAGTATTACTACTATTAAAAAAATTAGATTTTTAAAAATTCTGCTTGTGTTTGAAAAATAATAAAATGGCTACATACTGAAATAATAAATAAGAGGCTTGTGTTCTAGTTGTGGCTCTGATTTAAAATAAAAAGAAACTAAGAACCAATGAAGGGTCTTTGGTACTTGCAAATATTTCAGCGTTGCCAAACACAAAGAAATGAAATGTGTTTTTTACCAAAAGAATAAGGGAATCTAACAATCATAATAATATGTATTGAACAACATACTGTCTCACAGACCAGGTAAAAAATTACATCTTCATAAATTTCTTGTTGAAAATCTGCCATGGACAAAATAATCTGATAACATTTATGGATTAAAGACATAAAAATGAAGAATCCCCTCCTTTCTACTTCCTTCTTCAGCTTGCATTCCAGACTGTACACACTCCCTCTCTAGTGGTTATTGTGTCACAGGAGGAAGTTGTTAATGTTAAAGAGGATTAGTTAATCAGTTAATCATAGTACCTCAGGCAAGAGGTACTACCTGGGTGATCTAAGTACTTGAAACTATTGATTGCAACTAGTTGGAGTAGGACAGATCGCTTGTCTTTTGTTTATAGAGATCATAAAAACCCTTCTTATGTTCTTAGAGAGATTACTATCTTTCCTCAGAAGAGCCTGCACTAGGTTAATAACAAAGACACAATTCAGTGATATCTGGGAAGATCTTAAGCAGAGTGGCTACAGGTGATCAAAGTTTGGATATTCTATTTCTAGTGTGATTTTCATTTTCCTTGTGTACTGTGGGGTTGGGATCAAAGGAGTGATGAAAGGTAGCATCCAATGCTGAGACAGTTAGTAACTAGTAATTAGTAATTATAAGGCAAATTTGGAAACTTGAAACATACTTGGATGCACACCATTTGCCTGCAGCCCGGGAAAATATGACTGAGTCCCAAGGTCTGGGACTCAGGGTCTCACTTCTGAGCAACTGCTCTTGACATCACCAAGTGCACCAGTAGCAGGTAGGGAACTGCAGAAATCAAACTGAAATAAATTAACTTCTAAAACAAGAATAAAAATTAGGACGGGAAAGAAAATGTTTTAATCATTTGCGGATTTGGGTTTTTCCCAAAAATATCTGGTCACCAGAAATTCATTAACTATAACTCCTAACCAGAACCCTTTGAAAACTTCTCTACAAGTTTCCTGGCAGTTGCCTGTTTATTAACCACTATTTTATACAAAATTATCTCAATGAGTGCTATTTTACAATGTTTTGAACATTGCCGTTGTATTTATATTTTAATTTTGTGGGTATATGTTCATGCTAAATGATGCTTGTGATTCTAAAAAGGTTTTTTTTAACGCTGGCTGTGTATGGCTTCATCTGGAAACTTGTCTGTGGGAAACATCACGAAACCTCATCACGAAACCTCCAACAGCACGTTGTAGAAAACCTTGGCAAAATCATGATGAACAGTGTGTCTGAGTTTATTAGCAACGTTAAAGCAAAATTCCAGGGCCTCCCCTGGTGGCGCAGCGGTTAAGCACTGGGCTGTGAAGCTGCCCGCAGCCTCTGCAGCGCCGGTTTGATCCCCGGCCACTGGTGAGGGTTCCACATGGTGCGCAGACCTCTCCTGTGTGGCCACTGCTCCCCTCAGCAGTGTATTTATCTGTCTGCCTGTTCTGTTCCCCACTCTGGCTCTGGTGAATTCTCTCACCCTCCCACGCTTCTGACTGTACCCAGTGCTTGTATAAATAAATAAATAAATCTTTAAAAAAATAAATAAAGCAAAATTCCAGAGTACTGGCAAGTTTCTAGCGGTTTGTTGAAGTCCTGTGTTCTTTGTTCTCACAGGGTCCTGGGCATCTTCCCAGGAAGTGCCTCTTGGTCCACAGCCACACTTGTAGAACTGGACCAGCAAGCCTGGCCT